GACACTGATGAAATCAGACATCTATTTACTCATCATTAATCCATGGTCCTATAACGAGTAATTTACAATTGTTTGCTTTAAGCGGAAACCAACAGAGTTACATACTCCATTAAGTATGTCATCATCAGACTGTAGAATGGCACTACTATACCATATAGATTATGATTAAACCTTTGGGGCCTCTGGTGGGAAACTTTACAGATCAGGCTGTGCTATTGATGGAGCCTGATAAATCAGGATAAAGAAAATTTAGTAGCAGCTGATCAGTAGACTAGTCAGGTGGTGATCTGAGGATCCCAGCTGGTTCATCCACCTTCACATACATGCAATTGGTTGTGTGTCCAGCTGTGGTTATCCATGTAATGACATGGAAGGGTTATGGGCAAGCAGTGTTATCAGTTACCAGTAATACTTGTAAATAGAAAATCAATGCACTTTCTATAAGGATTCATTAATGGGTCTAGCTCCTCAATCAACTGTTGCTTACTAACTTGTCCAGCTGGAATGATTTGTTTTATCAATAATTTGCAGCATGTTGAAATTTTGGGTGCAGATACTGTCCTTATTTGCATATTGTGTATACTCACAAAATTCAATGTCCGTTGGAATTTCCTTATCAATGATTTTTAGACGTTTTAATGATACTTCTCTGTTAAAAGAAGTATGATTGTTCAGATCAGCTGCAGTCATGTTTTTATCAACAAGCACAATTTTCAGACATCATATGTAATTGTTTTCTGTGAAAACAACCATATTTGATGCAAGTGCTAAGTTTCAGAACACAATCTGCAAATCTTGTTTTACAGCGAGTTGTTTCACAAGCGTAAATTAATTAGTATATTGTATCATAAGAAAAACAGAAAGGAATGTCAATCTGATTAAAATCTGAGCCAAGTTTCACTCCAGAAGGTGCAGCTGTCACTGAAGATATGATGTTATAATCAGGTTGAACATAATTCAGTTACGACTATTGCCACATACACTAAAAGGATGTTTGTGTTCCAGTTTCATGTGAACATAACTATCTGTTGGGGATTTAATTTGAGCTCAGAATTTAGTTGAGATGGGATACAGGGGAAATTTGTGGCTGTAGGATTCATCGATGTGGTCAGGAGAAACAGAATTTAGATGAGATGGGATACAGGGGAAATTTGTGGCTGTAGGATTCATCGATGTGGTCAGGAGAAACAGAATTTAGATGAGATGGGATACAGGGGAAATTTGTGGCTGTAGGATTCATCGATGTGGTCAGTAGAAACAGAATTTAGATGAGATGGGATACAGGGGAAATTTGTGGCTGTAGGATTCATCGATGTGGTCAGGAGAAACAGAATTTAGATGAGATGGGATACAGGGGAAATTTGTGGCTGTAGGATTCATCGATGTGGTCAGGAGAAACAGAATTTAGATGAGAGAGTTGAATGGTCTTACAGTAATGTTAGAAATTAATTTTTTTGTTTGTGTCCAGTGCTTTTTATCTATTAATCTTAATGAATGATTCTGTACACATTCTGAAAGCTTTCTTACTTTTTATAGTTTGCCTGTTGATGAAGAGGATCAGAAACACACTGGGAGTTACATTTAAACTGGTTGTTTATCCCAAAACACTGAACAAATGTATCACTTCTCATTCGATTCAGTCTTGTTTAAAGTGTCGATGAATCTGGTAAAGGATGTATTTAATCAAGAGAATAAGACCTGAGATAATCTAAATGACTTACACCTATGATAAGGTTGCATAAAGACCAAAGTTTTAACAATACTAATATAATTTATCTTCTAGCTTGTCAATGTAACTTCAGACTAGAGGTGACAACTATTTGATAAAAATTGTTTTAACATTTAGATGAGATAGCATTTTGCCTTCTACCACACAGTTCCATTATCATTTAGTCAATATTTGTCTAGCACTCTACTCATATTAAATCAACATTGAAATCTGCTGTCCCTGAAAACATGTGATGATACCTGACAACATTAGGGTTACTGACGGATGTAGCTGTCCACCTCATGTCAGGTCTGGTTTGTCTTTGTAAGGCTATCACACCATTCACATGGAGACACAATTTTAGATATGACACAGTAAACAATTGTGCAAAGATGACTCATAATTTTGGTGTATCTTTCTTAGAAATCAGAAAGCTAGTCAGCCTCAGTTTGTAAGATTTAGGGGGAAAAAAATCTTTTGTTGAAAAATAAATGACAGTTATCCTGAGCTTGATGTTCCTATATAACTAACTGTACCATACATATCTTGATATTTTATTGTCACAGTGTGTCAGTTTCTAGGAGAATTCCTTGTGTGTTGAGAGGCACAGTTATGTCTGTATTATAAAATTTGATACTCTAGAAGACTGCTCTTGAATGTTATGGGAATTGAAAAAAACGAACCTCCACATAAATGCTTTTTTCAGAAATTGAATTTCCAATAAAAATATCATGAAAGTCTGAGGAGGCTCAGATATATGTGGTATACATATATATATATATATATGTCTCAGTTCCTTAATTCCTAAGTGAATTTAACAGTCCTGTATCAGTGGATGTTCAGTCAATAATGGAAGACTCCTATAATTAGGATCAACTAAATATACTCACAGAGATATTAGAGAAAAAAATGGTAATGTGTTTTATACAAAATTACAAATTAAAGGCTTGATTTCAAGAGCAGCATTCATAATGTGATTGCAGTTCACTTTTCGTTGGATATATAATTGAGAATTGAGTGATTTATAATAGTTCAGTTAGAGTAGCATTAATATAAAAGCCATGCTAAAGCACCTGTTTATTTAATGGAGTTTTAATCATCAACATATGGTATTATGTGATGTATGGGTGGGCACCTTAATGATGGTTACATTTCTGTGTATCCCAGTTACCTAAATTCAGTTCATTAGCTGAGCTGACTGAATTGCAAGTGTGATCATATATCTTATGTTACTAGTTTGTCATTGGTCTTAAAATTGATTGAAAAAAAATCTGTTAACATATTTATGCCAGAATTTCAGGATATAAGCCAGACTGTTTATTGACTTTTGATGATCAGATCAGTATTACATAATATTGCTTTATTTCTGTACGAAGAATGTCAGCCATATTTACCTGGAGTGGAGTCTCACACTTCAGAACATCAGAAGCCTGATATTTTACCTACAGAATGTGCTACAAGTTCTACCTCTATATATGTATATATTGATTGGATCTAATCACCCCATGCTGCCTTGCATGTGTTTCAGATAGACACACACATATATATATAAAAGCAATCAGTCTTTGGTATTATACACCTGATGCACACAGGTAGAGAAAGACACACCTGGTGTACAGGTAGAGAAAGACACACCTGGTGTACAGGTAGAGAAAGACACACCTGGTGTACAGGTAGAGAAAGACACACCTGGTGTATAGGTAGAGAAAGACACACCTAGTGTACAGGTAGAGAAAGACACACCTGGTGTATAGGTAGAGAAAGACACACCTGGTGTACAGGTAGAGAAAGACACACCTGGTGTATAGGTAGAGATAGACACACATGGTGTACAGGTAGAAATAGACACACATTGTATATCGGTTGAGATAGAAACATATCAGGTGTACAGGGAGAGACAAATACCTGCTGTACAGGTAAAGAAAGACACACCTGGTGTATATGTAGAGATCGACACACATGTTGTATAGGTAGAGATAGACACATCTGGTGTACAGGTAGAGATAGACACACCAGGTGTACAGGTAGAGATAGACACATCTGGAGTACAGGTAGAGATAGACAAACCAGGTGTACAGATAGAGATAGACACACCCGGTATACAGGTAGAGACAGTCACACCTGATGTACAGGTAGAGAAAGACACACCTGGTGTACAGGGAGAGATAGACACACCAGGTGTACAGGTAGAGAATAATGAGGTATAATGAATTTGATATCCTATTATTGCACTTTGTAAGTATTTGCAAATGTTTCTTCTTGCTTTGAAGAATTGCGACAAAATACATTTTTTATTAAAGAAATAAAAAAATCAACTGTAAATAAAATTTAAAAAAATTGTGTTTCAATTCAACAGATTAATTATTAATTAGTATTGTATTTTTTCTGTATTTATGTCTCTGTGACAATAGAAGTAGTTGCTGATTTGATCGGACTTGTTACGTAGCATTGTGAGTGACGAGAACTCATTCAAACAAGTCCAGTGACACTTTTACAGGCTGGAGTTTAATTAGGGAATTGTATTGTTTGCTTAGCCTTGATTTTGATTTCATTGAAGTCGGAGAAATGGTTAATGAAACATTGATGTCCTTGGTATTGATAATATAATGAAGAGGTTTTAATTAGACTAAAAGCTTGGCTAGATTGGTTCTCCATGGGGAGGAGGGATTGATTAATATTGGTATTAATTAGACCATCAGTAAATGTATCTGATATAATGATCATTGTGCTGTTGTTGTTAACACAAATGTTAAATATTGTCAGAAGCAGCTTGACTGAAATTGGTATAAAAAATATCATTATTTTATTGTGTAGATCAAACTTTCTGAGTTTGGCATTGTGGATATATTGTTGCATAGTTTATATCATATCTCTCGGAAAGTACTCTGTAGTGATTATATCTTTTGTACCTTTAAGATTTAACAAAACAGGAGATTTAAGGTGAGCATTCCAACATTAACCAGCCGTGTATGGAGTGTTAGCTATTTGTGAGATTGGACCATTTCAGAGATTGGTCATCAAGTCAAAAGCTCATAAAAAAACAGTTTACAATGTGTTGTTATTAATCACAGATAACTATTTGCATTTTAATGGAATTAAATCAATTTTGATTGAGAATGTGAGCAATCATAGTTAAATCCGTGTACTTTTTACAGGTTAGTCACTTCAGCGTTGTTCTAGAAAAATGAATACCAAATGTATAGAATTGATGTTGGTGTTTATCGTCACATCTGTATTCTTACCCAAAGTTTTTTTTTGTATGTTTTTATCAATTATTTGTTTTGTTTTGTAGTCCGGCTGAGTCCCAACCACCAAACTGGAACATGAGTGGTGTACCTGGAAGGTAAGTAATAAGTTTTCTTGTCAGAAATCAAATCGAAAGTAAACAATGAGACCAATTGTATTTTAGGTCATTGTTTTAAAATCATAGCAACATACAGAGGGCAGTAGAAGTAAGATTATTTTACATATGAATTGATATATATTAATTCACAAATACCTTGTGATGTAAACAAGTATGTTCTAAAGTAGACAGTATATGTAGCGTTCATATTTCAAAAGAAATAGCAATCTTAGGCCCCAGAATGATGTTTTGGTGCTTCCCTGCCTTTGTCCAAAACAGAGTACAATAGCATAGGAAGTAAACATTTAGATGATGCTGGAAACTGTTACAACACACCATATTGTTTATCATAGTGTCATATATCACACATTTTTACATTTGTAAGAGGAGGTCATAAAACTGTGTAAAATTTGTATCAGGTATCAATATCTTAGAAAAATATGGGTGTCAAGAAACACAATTTATAATAATAATAATAAACTTCTATAACATGTGAACCTAGAATGTGTAACAGAATATAAGATATATATGTCCATCTTGTTCCACGGTGTAGTGCTGTTGGGTTTTCCCAAGGGTTGTGCACTATGCAGTCCCTGCCACTCTAGTGGATCAGAGGTTATATAATTAATTAATTATGAAATTTGATAAAAGAGGCTTAAATTAGGATCTTACTCCCAACAAAAATTTGCAAAAGTTCCTAGCTGTAAAAGTTAATATTGCTTTTAAAATATATTGTGATACTCAGCAATAATTGGCTTTTAAGACACTGAGAAAAATGAAATACTCGGGAAATAAATGAATCACATACTGCTACTTCTTCGGTACATAGTATTCACGTGATTTGCAACTGGGGATTTGTAACTCATCAATGTAATCATCATCTTTTTCAGTATTATTAAGACTTGGGAAATCACTGTTCATGTTTAAAAAAATTACATTAGATAAAGGAGATCAGATGTCTAAAGAAGTATTACATTACACCAGGAAATTTAATTTGTCACTTACACCGGTTTTTGAAATCAGGACATATCTTCCCTGTGTGTTCCAGTAAAAGAATCACAGGTTTCATGTATCTAATGGTTTCCACAGATTGAAAAGGACTCTCCATTTACTCTTTTTCTAATACATTCACTGTCGACAGCTTTCTTCAGAGAGTGTACATGTACCTACATTGATCGGTACTGAGTAAATCAAGGCCTCTGCACTCAGATGTTACAAGAATTAATCAGGATTTTACTGTAGGCCGTAACATTTCGAGGAACATAAATGCTGTAGCACCAATATACATTATATATCTGTTATTTCTAACAAAAAGACTTTGTATGAGGTGCTGATATCCATTTTAACAACACGAAATGTAGTGAGTTCTATTAGGTCAGGATAGTGAAAAGTGAAAAGGTAGACAGTAGTGAGTTTTAATAGGTCAGAATTCAACACCTACAGATGTAAAGGTAGCTAGTTCTTATAAGTCAAGATTCAACACCTACAAATATAATGTTAGAAAATTGTTTGTTTGGAATTGAGCTCAAAATCTTGAAATTGAATCAGGAGTGGATTATATTTGTAAGAGTGCAGGAATAGTTGTAAATTCATTTGTTAAATTTCTCAAAACATGTTGTCTAGCTATCTAACAAGAAATTGTAATTGACAACTCACTGACAAAAAGAAATTCTAACAACAGTGACTGGAATAAGGACATTAAAAGAAATATTGCATGCGAACGCAACATATACACTTTTTCAATTTTCTTTCCAAGCCACTGTAATGCATAATTCTTTGCCCAAAACAAAAGTACTTTAGTCCAGGTCATAAAGTGTGAGACTGCCTATGCTAAAAAAACAAACTTTAATTTATACAGCTTAAGTGAGAGATAATGGAATGGGGATCAAACTGATGAAAAAGATGTTTTCAGTAAGATTTCCTTACAGTTTCTTGGAACCAAGAGGTCGGCCATAATTTGCAGATTCTGCATTTTGAAATAAAATTCTGTTTTGGTTATTCATAAAATATTAAAATGGTATCGATTACAAGAGTTGAGGTTACCATGGGAACATTGCAGTGTCTAACTATGACTATGTTCTTGATTTCAATTTAGTAACCTTGGTTATACTCGATAGAGGTTGTGTCTCATTCTGCACTTGTTTCACCTGATTCATGAAATTAGGTTATTTAATTACAGGTGTATGTGGTATGTGAAGAAGAAATTGAATGCTACAACAAGATTATGCTTGGTGATATCAGAAGGATTTATACAAAAAAGGACTATAATAATACAGTATAGATACACTAATAGATCAACTGTAATGATAAGGGAGACAATCAATGATATTTAAACAATGTTTTCATTTCAGTATACAAGATGAACAGGCGATGTCCTTACATCAGAAAAAATTAGACAAGGAGGTAAGATATGTTATGTACATGTATATTGATGGGTATCAGCAGGGGAAAGTGGCCTCTGATTTATACTTTTTGTGTCATGTTTCTTTAGCTTTAATTCAGGTGTTATTTCTGATAAAAGTGCAATGATATTTTTGTAGTTCATTCATTCATTCATTAAATCCTTCATTCATGCAGAAGGCAACGAACTGTAAAATATCAAAGTCTGTTTAATATTTATGAATTTATTTGATGTTACCATCCAATGATAATATAGGTTGAAAATTGTTTTACATTGTTTTTTTGTTTTTTTAGCGGAGAAGAATTGATGAACAAAATAGAAGGAAGAGAGCGACTAACAACATGGGCCTTCTCCAGCCCAACACTGATAGTCGCCCTAACTCAGGTGGTCATCGCCGGCGTGGAGAGGAAACGCGACCGCTGGTCAAAGAATCATCTAAACCGTCCACACCAACAAACTTTGGTGGGTATCATCAAATGGTTATCTGGTCACTGCAGACAAGTAGCCATTTCAGGTTTAAGCAGATTATCAAATCTTCTCATGCCAAGTTTTAGTCAAGGAGGAAAGTAACTGGCAATGCTATATATAGCAGGGGAGATAACTGCTATGTTGTGATAACACAAGATGGTACATATTGGTATATATCAGTAGAATTCAGTTGGTATGGACAGAGCCTTACCGATATGAAATAGTCTGCACTCACATCTTCTTCCTTATATCTTCATTATGGTAAATTACAGCACAAGCTAGGTGACAACATTTGGCCAATCCTTGCTGTGTTTCACGGTAAATCAGTTTGACTGTCTATCTACATTGATAGTCCTGTAAAAATAATTATTCTCCAGACATTCGGGGAACTCACAAACTGAATGGCATCTAATGTTGAAAAAAGACATTAATTGCTGAGCATGTGCTGACATTTGAATTCCTTTGGGATAGCCCTGCGGCAATTCAGGATAAATTATACCATTGTGTGTGATCATCGCCATGTCTGACCTTTACAGAAATCGGGATCACTAAAGTCTCTTCAGCTTCATCTTACACAGAAAAAATCACATCATATGTAGCAATTTATAAAGTATACATGTTTTTGTTTTTGCGGAATTCAATTACTTTTTATGGCATAGGAATGTAATTTAAGATTAATCTCATTTGTTTCAAAATGTAGAATTATTTCTTTGTAACAATACAACATATGGGTGTATAGATATTTGTTGGTTACACCTTAACTCTAGGATGTTCTCAAAGAATGGGAATGGTAATTCCATCAGTTCAACGATATGTGCATTATGTTTCAATCCTAACACACATGCCTTATACAGTTTACCAAATTTTGTCAAGGAAAGTTAATGAAGGTTGTCAGATAATTGATAGAGATAATGTAAGAAGGAATCATGTGGTAACATAGAGCAGAACAATCATTCAACAGAACCTGTACAAGGGTGTGTTTGATTATATTGTAGTTTTTTAATCTTGATTTCAGAATACCTCGGCCCAGCAGCTAATGACGACATAGACGACATGGCAAGGTTGTCTCCTCAGGATCAACGAACCATGACAGTGCTCAACGTGACCACCGACAGCCACAGTGATGACAGCGACAGTATACCAGAGATTGCTTCCCCTCTAGAAGGTATATACAATATTCCTAACCAAAAAATCCAGGTCACTTATTGATCAATTCATGTTTGGCACCTGTTGATGAAATATTTCTCACCCAGTGACATGTGATCTTTAGTTTATTTGCAGTCTTGTGAGATTCGTGTGCATTTGTCGTAGTGTTTCATCCTTCCCTGAACGTGATCATTTTCACCTGAATGTTTCCCATGTGTCCTTGTTTCTTGCTAACATAATTTGCACCCTTTCAATTCATCCACACTAGATACATTACAAAACAAGTCCTGTATGATTAGTTCCACACACATCCACATTTTATAATATGGAAGCAGTAATGCTACATGATATACATCCTAGTCAGATATAGACAGAATCACTAGGGGATGGTGACAGAAACCATGATATGACAGTTATGGTTATTGTTGTATTAATATACTGTACAGTACACCCTGTTTCTAAGACCACATGCCTTGATTCAATGCTTCCAATTTCACAAGGTTCTTTTCAGAATATAGAAATTGATTCTAAAAATATCACTTCAATTTTTTTTAATTGAAAACTTCTTTGTTTTTAATTTCATCTGAAAAATAGTATATAATGCTTTTGTATTTCAAACAGTAAAGCTATATGATAAATTAAGTGGAATTAATCAGCTGTTCTGGAGAGGATTATTTAGATTTAAATCAACCCATGTATGTATTGCTGTCATCACAAATTCATAGTCAATTCCATATAGACCCCATGTCTGTGAGGCTAGACAAATTTCTATTTGATACTTTACTTTGGAATTGGTTATTTGTTGGATTTATAACTAAATAATGAGTCTGTAACACAAACACACAGTCTTGATGACACAGGGCTGTCCTTGATCTTATATCTTAACAACAACCTGCCTTATTAGGGGATCAAACTACACACCTCTGATTTCTCTCCTTTACCAAATGACAACATATGTAAGACAACATTAAGAAATAAGATTTCCGATTTCATTAATGTTTTTGCTCATAGAAAAAATTCAAAATAAAACAAAACCAAAAAAAAAAGAAAAAACAAAGTTTGAGAAATTGTGATTCTATCTATCTGTACATTTAGTCTGTAATTGATTGTTATTACCTGTGCTAACTGGAATATGCCCAAATTCCCATTGGCTCCTTGATTTAATGGCCAGTCTGCACATAGGTGGCGATGAATATTTAATGTAAATGAACTCCAACATTATGCAATGACTGCTGTACCATTAATGATACAAATTTTGGCCAAATAACATGGACGGTACATTTGTAAACATTTTATGCTGCATAATTTGATACTATAATACATGTGAATATCAAAGATATATTGTACACTATGTGTTTCCTGTAAATATGAAGACCTGCAGACACACTACTTAAACATCAATAATATGAAAACCTTTGTAATATGATAAGAACGTTTGTTCTTCCTTTGTTAAAATGATGCTGTTCTTGTCATATTGTGAAGGAATTCTTTCTTTTTTTTATATTTATGAGGATGTATATGTATTTTGATTGAGTATGAAAAGAACTTTTAAGCCAAGATATACATATTACAAGTACAGATGCACTTCAATTCATTGCTATCAAATGGATATTTATTACGATTTTTTAATATGTACTTGAACAAGACATTTTGACTGACACAGAATTTAAATGGTTGATATCCTCGATTTGTTCAGGTGATTTTTTTTTCTAAACTAGTAATTTCTTTTCTTTTTGTTCCTTGTGAAAACACTGTTTCATTTAATATGCTACAATAACAAGTCAGTTACATAACTCACGTCCACTTAATATACACATCTTCCTTTTTGCAAATCAAGTTACCTTAAACCAGGAGGAACAAGTTATTCAATTTCTACAGAAATAAATCCAAATTCAACCTTTTTAATCAGCTGTCACAAAATCATCCCAGCTTTCATTATCTGATGTGAAAGCCAAGCTGCCTCCTCTGTCTGTGTTTGCAGATATTTCTTTATACATTTGCACATTACATTGTGCCATCACGTTTTCCAGTCTACATCCATCTTCATCAAGAATCACATTTCATCAAAATAGTTTTCATCGAGTGTGATGGAGAGGAAGTTGTATTTGATTAGTATGGTTCTAGTCTGTCTTAAAAAGTCAACATTGTTCTGACAGCTTAAACTGTGATCAATTAGAGAATTACAATTCTGACAATGATACAAACCAGAGCTAGCATTGTCAGTAATTTCTGTGGATAGAATGTAAACTATATCATATAGATAGAAAATGTGTTGCATCAGAAGAAAATGATAAGACAATGTGCCCTCCCCTACTTATCTATGTGTCTAATATTGATGCATCCTCTGTGTATACCCTGTCTTGTGTTGATGCTACTCTTTGGTGCCTATATCTTCTCTGCCCCTACAGGTATTGATGATGTACACTCCCTGTATTTATATCCCTGCACAATATCTCTCCTTGGCTATGTCCTTGGCTCACTACAAGTACCCCTCTGTATTTATTTGCTGGGTTCACTGCATGTATCCCTCTTGTATTTTTGTGACAGGCACACTGTACCTCTCCTGTACTTATGTGTCAGGCCCACTGTACCTCACCTGTACTTATGTGTCAGGCCCACTGTACTTCTCCTGTACTTATGTGTCAGGCCCACTGTACCTCTCCTGTACTTATGTGTCAGGCCCACTGTACTTCTGTACTTATGTGTCAGGCCCACTGTACCTCTCCTGTACTTTATGTGTCAGGCCCACTGTACCTCTCCTGTACTTATGTGTCAGGCCCACTGTACCTCTCCTGTACTTATGTGCCAGGCCCACTGTACCTCTCCTGTACTTATGTGACAGGTTACTGTACTTCTCCTGTACTGATGTGTCAGACCCACTGTACCTCACCTGTACTTATGTGTCAGGCCCACTGTACCTCACCTTTACTTATGTGTCAGGCCCACTGTACCTCTCCTGTACTGATGTGTCAAGCCCACTGTACCTCTCCTGTACGTATGTGTCAGGCCCACTGTACTTCTCCTGTACTGATGTGTCAGACCCACTGTACCTCACCTGTACTTATGTGTCAGGCCCACTGTACCTCACCTTTACTTATGTGTCAGGCCCACTGTACCTCTCCTGTACTGATGTGTCAAGCCCACTGTACCTCTCCTGTACGTATGTGCCAGGCCCACTGTACCTCTCCTGTACGTATGTGACAGGCCCACTGTACCTCTCCTGTACTTATGTGCCAGGCCCACTGTACCTCTCCTGTACGTATGTGCCAGGCCCACTGTACCTCTCCTGTACGTATGTGACAGGCCCACTGTACCTCTCCTGTACGTATGTGACAGGCCCACTGTACCTCTTCTGTGTTGTTGTAACTTATTCTGTTGTTATATCATCTGTGTACTTCCTCTGTATTTATGTATCCTGATGTACCCTTCCTGTGCAGTTGTACTATCTCTGTTTATACCCTAATATCAACATACTTCCTTTGTTCATATTTTTGGGAACTCGCACTTTACCCCATCCCACTAATAAAATTAGCATAAATTTCCTGTACTTAAAATGATCAGACAGACAGAGAACAGACCTGCAGTTGGATCTAGACATGTACATACATGTTTATATGTTCTCAGTATCATTAAGTTATACATTCTGTGTTTCTTGCTTCCTCCATCATTCCCTTTGTACCTTTTGTCCTGCAGCTATGTTTAAAATGCTGGGTTCTCCTCTGGTATCCTCTATTCTTTAAAGTCTGATGATGGGCGTGTACAGTATCTCTACTCTATAATACTATGATTTAGTATTGGTGTAGATTAAGAGGTACTTAGGATATTGATATCATCCTGATCCTACTCTGCTTCAGCTATTCCCCTTGCTCCTGCCCCACCTCCTCTTGCTGTTGTCCCTTCCTTGTCTCTCCCCTTTCCTGATATGTGAGCCCAGTTTCTTTTTCATCCTTACTCCCTTCTCTTCCTGTCCCCTTTCCTTGTTCAGTTATCTGGATTTCTGCCTTTTCTGATACCATCCTATCCTTCTCTCACTTTTTCTTGTCCATGTTAATGTATTTCTCCCTCTTCAAACTCCTTTCCCATCTTCTCCCATTTTGCATGTCCTTGAACCCAAATCTGTCCTGATCATCTATGATACCTCTACTCCTGCATGTCTACCCGTACATTGTACTATAGGTAGCACTGGTAACACTGCGCAAGAACCAATGCATCCAAGCAGAAAAAAGGACAAGGCCAAGAGCTCCATGAGTGCTGCTAATTGGACTGTTACCAACAAGGGACAAATCCCAAATTTTACGACCAAAAAGAGTAAATCTCAGGATAATGTTATTCCTGAGGGGGGTGAAAATGCTGACGATGAGTCACCAGATATTCCCATGCTACAAGGTAGGGAGGTGTGGTCTAGTGAGGGTCAGGTGACTGCACTGCATGTTAACCACCCTTAACCCAGCTCAGTGTGAGTCTAACACCCTCAGACATATAACAGTTTTACTTCAGCTAGTTAGCTATGTACACTTTTTGCAGAGCCTGCCTAAGTCATCCATAATCTATTATATAATGGCCAGTACTTTATCAAGTTTAAAACTGGAGATTAGGAAAAATGTATGAAAATGTGTTTAAGGCACTTGTTATAAATTTTTTCACAGAAATTATTTTTATGAACTAGTTAGTCTGAGAAAGCAAAATGTGAATCATAAAACTGAAAGTAGATTAGAATTGGTTTATAGTAAACATAATTTATCCACTAAATTATTTGGTAGGCATTGCATATTGTGTCTCTTTGATTATAGTTCAATTAATCTGTGTTGTGTTTTATTTTCTTTGATGTATTTTAAGCCTTTTCTGTTGTCCCTTGCTTGTTAAAAAGGCCAGTAGTTGGTTGAGGGGGGACAACTCTTACGTTTTTTGGTCACTAATCCAGTAGTATGCTTAGTAGAGCAGTTTTGTGTGACATATTATATCTGGACACTTTCAAGCAATGAAAATATCTTTGTTACCAGGCATTTGTTTAATTAGGAT